CCATATTATAACATCGACTGAGATAAAGAATAAAAATGAAATATTAAAAACACGATGTATCTCGCTGCATTGCGCGAGTACGCTTCTAGTTTAATATAAGTTAATTTATTAATTAAAAAAGTTTGAGGTTATTGGGTTGTTCTCGTGCGTTCTCATAAATCATATGGGTTTTCGTTTGAACCTCCACCTATATATATATATATATATATATATATATATATATATATATATATGTTTGAAAAACGTCATAAACTGCAATCTTCAATTATCATAAAAATTCAAAACCAATTTGAGAGTGATAGGATCCAATAAACTTGGCTACCTATCCAACCAAGAGTCTTTCTAATCAGCTACAATTAATTAATTTAATTTAATTTATATACATCTATTACACAAATGCTAATATTTGAACAATATTTCAAACTTCACAGCACTTATATTTGAAGACAATAACCCATCACCTGAACTTCATTGTGAGGCTTTCTAATTGCGTGTTGACCAACGAACTCAATTTGCTCCACATCGAAAACTCCGATCCATACAACAATACCCTCACCGATCTCTTTGTTCCGTCTCTCATGTATTCCAAATCCTTAGCCACGTCATACCGACCACTTTCATCATCAAGCAACGGCAATGCAACAAAACCTTCTGATTCCAAGTTCTTTATCCACCCACGTAGTAGATAATTCACAACCTACAACGTTTGGAAGCCATAAACTAGCTTATTACTTAGGCTTTTTGAAAACCTACTTCAAGTAGTGTTTCATTTAGCTTTATGGGCTTTTTTTCAACCATTTTCCAATTATTGCCTATTGTATTTTACATAAACAACCAAAAAACTTGTCCTTTTAGGTAATTGTACAATATTATTTAGTTTATCAGCTAGCTTTTTAGCTAAGAGCCACCTTATCTGCTTCGCAAAACATAGCCTTTTCTAATTGTATTTTGGTACGACTGTTTTCTGTGACTCTAACCCACGAGGTTTTGATGAGGTTTTGATCAGATTGGGGTGATCTTTTTTTGCCGGTTCTTCAAGAAGCACCCGAGGTAGTAAAGCATATTAGACGCAGAGGCTAATTAAATGCACGGTCTTTTTCGTATACTTTATTATCGTCTATTATTTCTTATTATGATTCAAATTTACTAGGTTGGCACCAATATCTAACAACCTGCATGTTACCGGTGGTGATTCGTGAGTGAAATAATAGAGAGCAATCAATGCCTAACGTCATTTTTTGGCACCAATATGGTCCTTGACTTCGCATGCTATTTTGATGCCAGTTAATACAAGTAAAGCCACAAACTTCAATTATCATTTATTCGGAAGGATGCCAAATGAAACTAATTTCGAGAAACTGCTCAAAAAATAATAGGATGTTTAGACTCGTGTTACATACCTCTGGAACTTCATCATGAGGACAATGGCCTGCAGGGCTTATTTGATAATAAGGAGCTTCAGGCAGCTGCCTCTTCACCTGTTGACCCCAAACAGGTCTCACCCACGGGTCTTCTTTTCCGTACATGAGGCATATGGGTATGTCATGAGTTTTACATCTACAATTACAAAGATACAAATAAAAATTAGTAACATCAACACAGAGCACAATGAAGTTGTCTGTTCACAGACAGGATGACCCGCTAGATCCAAGCTGCTGGAAAGACAGGCTTGGACAACCATTCTTGAAAATATGGATGGCCTTGGACGAGCTTGTTAAGATTAATGGCCAGACATGGACTATGCAAAAATAAATTCAGACAGCCCCCCGGCCGTTTGTATTTTCTTTTCACAAATATATAATTAATTGAGTTTTATAAGTAATATTTTTTTATAAATTCTTAGTAGAAGCCTATGTTGTATTTATTATCCTAATTAATACTCTTTTATATAAAAAAAAACTTTGTGAAACTACTTTTTATCCTTTAGCTATCCTAAGACAACGTATGTACCAAGTGTCGACGTCTTATTTTAACTTTGAAAAGAAAATGCTGTATTTTGAATGATTTTAAATAGCTTATGATTTTACATAGATTATGTTTTCTTCTTTAAAAGCAAAAGACTTTTTAGTTCCATTAGCCTATGGGCAAGCCCGGCCTTTTATAGGCAGGTAATACCGTAATGGCAACTTATCAAACCCGCAAAAAGGGCTTGGTTTGCTATATTAAACCCATTGAACAATTTAATAAAATAAGTTGGGCAATCCCGCAGATAATCGTCTCAACAATAAAGAGAAATTTTCTACTATTTAGTTACCGAAAGAAACACCCTCATAATCTCATTGTCCGCTGATAAGGCTTGCACATATAAAGGGAAGTCTCTACATTGTACATGATATAATAGGGAAGAGAGGGGGAATAGAGAATTAGTTTGATAAGATCTGAAATTAAAGAAGATGATGTCATGAACCTACATATCACATTTACTTGATCATTGTGTAACTACACAAGTATGAGGGTAGATTTGCATTCTTAATCGAAGTTTAGGTAATGCTGAAAAATGGACATCCGAATATGATATTTTATGTTTATCATGGGACATACAGAGCAATAGTAATAAAGTATGTGCCTCATACCTGGATAAAGCCTCCCCAAAAGATATCTTTCCCTGAGGAGCCAACATTATCGATGCAAATGATGCGAGCGCTGCTGGATGTTCTGTTATTTCAAGTATACGAGAGAAGACCTTATCTACATTTGTAGAATGATCTGCATAAACTTGCTTGAGTATCTCCCGGATGCTTCTAGGATCCCTCATCTTCTCCCAACTATATATATACAAAATAGAAACATGAAATTTTATAAGCTAATTTTTTATGTACTTGAGGCTAAACAACATTAAGTGAGGCGGGAGAGAAGGAGTTAGGAACTTGTTGATCATAAAGCATAATAACTTACACAACTTCCATGATTTTTCTGACACGTGGAGGAAGTGGAAATGCCCCAGCTGACGGGAACATCTGCGACAGTATTGGAGATCTTTCAGGGTTTGGGAAGAATCCCCAAAACGGTGTTGCATTGAGTAGTGTGACACCCTTCACTAAATGAGGGTTACATGATGCAAAGTAAAGTGCAACATATCCCCCAAGTGAATTCCCCACAATATAAACTGGTTCCTTGATGACCTGCAACATAATTATGCAATTAGATTTATAAAAGATTCACTTATTTGGTGTGATCAATAATTAAGTATTAGAACGGAGCTACATATATGAAGATATCAAAGCTACATCTAACTATATTAAACGAAATGTCCTACATCAGTTTCTCATCACCGTAAGAGAGGCTATGGATGTCAAAGGTTGCTAATTTGGCGTAAGTTCAATGTTATGGCTCAACATTTCTATTTGGAAACAATTCCGGATATACAGAGAGATTGCATATTACTGCATTGCAAACACTCAACCACTTCAACTTAAAATTCATATTGATGACGGAGAGTATTCATCTATTCCCCGAGTGTTATGTTTTTCAATCTAATCCTTTGCACGGTTTTAATACTGATTTGACTGGCAGTCTGGAATTACTTTTTTGACTTTGCTGCACAATATCAGACTGATTTCCGTTTTTGTCTCTACTCTCTTCATGGTCGCATATCTTAGATTAGCAGTCGAATGAACTGGATTAGATGACCGACTCCTGCTCTTATACTTTAGTATATCTGGCTATGCGACGATTTTTTTTTCAAATGTGGACTCATTTTTGGAGGGAGGTTGTACGGATGACTATAAAATTCATTCTATGGTAAGTACTAATGTTACTTAGACTTTGAAGCTTCCTAGTACTGCTTTCACTCATAAACGGCTCAAACAGACCCCAAATGTAGGCTCTATATTTACCCTTGATGTGGATGGTAACGGTATTAATTTCGGTTGGCAAAGTGGTTTGGGATGAGCAAAGTAGATGGTGACTGGTTCTTGAGTCTTGACAGTATATTTATCTCTATAACAATGTAAGAGATGCTAAAGCTCTGGTGGAGGGTCTAAAGTTTTAGTTCTCCATGGATGTGCAGTGTGTTTCCTTCGAAAGTATAAACCAAATGAAGTGGATAATGCTAATTAGGAAGTGTATGATGCTAGGCTGACAAGAAAAATAAAACAATTAGGATGTGTATAATGCTAAACTAGCAGGAGAAGAATGTCGTATCATAATTGTCATATACAAATATATAAAGGTAACATCTTACTAAACTGAAGAGAATATATATATATATATATATATGTATATATATATATATATATTATATGTATATATATATATATGTATATATGTATGTATATATATATATATATATATGTATGTATATATATATATATATGTATGTAGGGGCCTAATCAAATGAAAACTAATTAGTTTGTGGTAACTGTGAGAACCAATATTAACCACAAATCAATAGATAAATTAGGAAATTTATAATTTTAGCAATTTTGAATTAAAATATTAATGCAAGGATATTTTTGGTATTTTAAAACTTTCCTCCCTCCTCTCTTCTCTCTCCGGCCACCGTCCTCCGGTGATACTACAATGGTATCACAATGCATCATATATATGCTTGGGTATCACATTGATGTCGTTTGTGTGGTCGATCGAAGATGTAACACAGTGGTATCACTATGCATCTTATATATGATTAGGTATCACAATGTATCTTTTGTTTAACAAAGTCAATATTTTTAGGTATCACAGTGGTATCACCGGAGGACGGTGGCCGGAGGCCGGAGAACGGTGGCCGGAGAGAGGAGAGTTTTAAAATACCAAAAATATTCTTGCATTAAGATTTTAATTTAAAATTACCAAATCTATAAATTTCCTAATTTATCTATTGATTTGTGGTTAATATTAGTTCTCACAGTTACCACAAACAACCCAGTTCTCCCTTGAATAAGCCCCTATGTATGTATGTATATATATATATATGTATGTATATATATATATATATATATATATATATATATATATATGCCTGCTGTGTACCTCTTCTATAAAATATCGTACTTGCTCCTGCCATAAGTCAATAGAATAAACAAGGTCATCTGCCCAAGGTTCAGTCTCATCACCAAATCCCCACAATGGATTAACTATCTGTGATTCACCATCATTCTGAGGCTGAAGGGTGGGATTCTCACCTGGCAATGACATACCCTGACCAAGAAAATCCATTGCCCATACTCCAAAATCACGACCAAGATCCTTTAACTGCTTTTCATAATGGAAGGATCCCACACCAAAGCCCGGAAGAAAAAGAACCTGGGGCGAACCGGTGTTTCTTGACCCCGATCTTTCATAGTGGATATTGAATTTAGGTTTCCACTCCCATTGACCACTGCTAACTGGAGCACTAAGATCGCCTTTTGAATCATCTGGCAACCCTGGTACTAAAACCTTAGGTATTGATTCCTTCCTTTTGCTCACATTTTCTAGGCTTTCTTCTACATCGATAACACCCTCAACCCCTTTAATAGCATCTAATGACATAAACCTACGAGTACCATTATAATGGCTAAGGTGAAAGGCAGATGGAAGAGAATTTTGCAAAGACCATACTTCTGATCTGACTAAATCACAAACAAATTTCTGTTTTCTTCTTCTTGAGAACTTTGGTGGGAATGAGCCTAAGCTTTTCTCAGGAAACTTCTGTGTCAAAGTTATTTGTTGACAAGAAGGCCCTGAATGACCAGACAGGATTTCCATACCCACAAGTTTCTGAAATCAACAATAGTTTACATGTTAGGAAAACATGGAACATCAACAAATCAAAGGATTAAACAGATTACATGTTAAACTACAGATGTAAGGCACAAAACCTCATATAAATAGATCTTTTATTGAACCCAATAAGTATGAATTGGTATATTTATATTGTTTGGGAGCTCTATTTCCGTCAGAAGCGAAGGTGAAGTGTGTTCAGCATCAAACTGTGCCCCAATTCCAAACCCATAACTAATCTCCTTATGACTTATGGGTCAAGTTGGTCTACTTATACGAATTCAAAACTTATGAAAATTAAACTGGATAGCTAAATTGAATTTCAACACAGCAAGACTATTGTCTGGGGTGTATTCCCATCAAAAACCATATCAATTTTAATAATCAGAAATCATTATCCAAAATCAAATATCTTTTCTCCCGGAATACAGAAAAAAACAAGTTTCAATCGGTTATTCTTTTGTTGCTTATTACTTTTGGACATCTGATTCCAAAATATAGTCATGAATTATAAACATCTTTTACTAAAAAAAACATATATTATGCTAGACCAAACTAACACTTAACAGAACGAAGTTACTGTATGCAATTAAGAACAAAATCTATCATGAATTTAAAGGAAGTTATTATATGCAATTAAGAACCAGATCTAACACTTGACGGAACATTTACTACTCCGGTACAAAATTGAGTCTAAACTTGAAGTTGGAGGAATCACAATTGCTACGAAATTAAAACACAAACTTACAACAACATGAGTCGAAGAAAGGGAAAGTTACCTGCGATATGAGAAGGAAGTGGTGTTTTTGGGGGAGAAAGCTTGAATCAGTGTGTAGTTATGGTGGGAAATGGGAGAGGAGACTAAGTGAGACTCAGACAATTCATTGCGTGTTAAGTTACGCCATCTACAACAACCACCCTTTTTCCTACCCAAACTTCTACTCATCCACACCGTTCTCCCCAAAACTTTTATAACTACCTTTCATGTGTTCGTATAAGTTGGAGAGAGAAAAAAAATTAAAATAATTTTTTTATTTATGTTCTGAAATGGAAGAAACTGAATGGAAAAGAAAATATTTTTTTATGTTCTTGAATTAAGTATGAGAATTGGTTCCGATCCATAGAGAAACCCGACCCATCTGCCCCGGTCGGGGACACGGATTCCCCGTTAAACCGGGTCTTAGGGGCGGGGATGGGGATCCCCATTTGATTCAAACCGGGGATAGAGATGGGACAGATAGGGGTATTCAAAAACCCGATCAACCAAACCGAACTCAACTCGAAATAACTCAACCCGAAACAACCCGATGTCTAATCGAGTTATAAAATTGTCAAACCGTAGATATTGAGTTGACATTGGATTACTACTATTTGAACCCAACCCAACCCGATGCCCGATATCCTTTTATTTATTGGATTTAATATGATTGTTGAATTTATATTGATATATACATTACACAATTACATTGGCATGTATCACACATATTTTCAATCTATTCGTATCTCTATATAATTCATTCGTATATATGTTCAATGACTGTGAACATATATATGTAAATTGAGAAAATTAACTGAATGTGATATACGTAAGAAGTATGTATAAGTTGTATCAAATGGTTGATGATGAAAAAGAAATTATGAGTAGAGAAATAACATATTCAATGTTAGAAGAATATTTTAATCTATTAAAGTATCAACCCGATCAAATCGTACGGGTTGGGTTGGGTTGGGTTGCACTTTGGTTTGGGTTGGGTTGGGTTAAGATTTTTCAAACCGCAAGCATTGGATTGAGTTGTTCAAAATTCAAATATCTTCAACCCAACCCATGAACACCCCTACGGACAGACATTGCATTCCAAACCCCGCTCCGTACTCGGGTGTGTGTGTATATATATATATTAATAAATTATATTATATATTATTTATCTCTATTAAATTGGTAAATGGTAATTTCTATTTTAATATGTTTTGGATATTACTAAATGTGGTTTTTGATATTACTCGATATGTTTTGATACATGCGACGTTAATTTTTTTAGATTAAATTTAATTTCTTTTGGTTTTTGATTTATTAATTATTTTATTATGATGTATATTTTTTGTATTAAAATTAAATTTCTTTCGATTTTAAGTTTATTGGAAAAATGTAAGATTTAAACATATATGATGTCTCACATATTTGATTTAAAAAACTTACACAAACGAAAAAAAAAATCGTCATTTCCCCGTTTGGGAGCGGCGATGAGGATGTGATTAGATTCCCCGATGGGGATAGAGACGGGGACAGGGATTGGGGTCCTCGTTTCATCCCCGCCCCATTACCATGCCTATCTTGAAGATGAGAGGAAGGAAAGAAAGTGTATCGCTTTTACTAATATGAAAGATTGGGTGATTTTGTAATTTTGTGATATTTTAAAGAGTTTTCATTTATTTTCTTTCCTTTCCTTCCCTTTTCTCTCACATGTGTGAGGAAAGTTTTGAGAGGAAACTTATCATTCTTTTCCCTCCCTCCATTTCCCTCTTAAAAAAGTTTTGAAATGAAATGTTTTAGAGAGATAAATAATATTTTATTAAATGTATGAAGTATTTTAATAATGTAACTGAAGAATCTATTAAAATTGAATGTGATTAATTTTAGAAATTTTGAACTTTGATTCTTCATTTTAAAAACTTTTCAAGAATTGTTGGAGATGCTTTTAGATATTATTTAAAATCAACCCAAACCATATATCACATGAAAGTGAATAAAAATATGTTTTTTAAATACCATGTTTTATTTTGTACATGAATCATATAGATCATTGAAAAATATGAACATAAATTAAATAAAGTTATATTAAATAAAAATTTAATATGTATTCACGTGATTGGTGGGATAGGAAATGAAGAGAGAACTTGAAGAGAACATATTGCTATTAGGGTATAGAAAGATCGAAGATGAGATGTACGATATTCTATCCGAGAAAATAGGGTTTAAAACAACTATTTTCATAAAAATCCTCTGCTTAAAACGAATAGATTAAAATAACTACAGGGTTATTTACCAAACACTTATCGAGTAAGTGTTTACCAGCAAGATTCACCACTCTCACTTACCTTATCGGTTAACATTCACAACCAACAAAATAGATTGTTGGTAAGAGTCTATCATCCGGTAAGCGCTTAGTGGATAAAAGTTATCACCCTAATGTACAGTGTAAGATTATTGCTCATCATTATGTTCACCTGATAATGAAATCAATAAGCATTTATATAATAAGTGCTTGATAAACGACCCATAAGACTAGTAATAATAACAAAATACAACAAAACAAAGAAAAAAGAGGCAAGTAAAAACCAATTGCATGCTCACATATGGTGTTGATGTCATGTTGATATATCAACAAAGATGAATAGGTAAAGACTTTCTAGTAAATATTGGATGTTGATCCAGCAACGGTTGGTCAACATCGAAGATGACCAATCTAATCTGAAGTCATCCGGTGCTTAATTGAGTTAATAAACCTTCAAATGACACGTATTAGATTAGGGTCATTAAAACTCAACTCAATTCAATGAATCTGATCTATTCATTGAATTTAATATAGTTGTTACATTAAATCATTAGATCAATATGCAATTAACTTTTTTTATAATAATTTCACATTAAACCTTCGTGTTTGTCTGGGTTTTTTTTTCCTCCATGACGCATAAAGGTCAACTAACTTTAAAGTCTTTTTAAACGAACTGAGATTTCTTAAATCCTACTAATTGAGTTGGGTTGTTCATAAACATTCAAACCGGCCAACCCGATTAATATGCAACACTAGTGAACATGGTGTTGACATTTCAACAAGATGACTAGGTAAACGCATTTTCGAAAAACATTGATTAAAATAAAAAAGTAAAAGTATGCTGTTGTTTTTCGTAAAAGAATTCTGTAAATAAGAATCACGATAAAAATAAATTGATAATTTGGGCTCGTGAGGGATCACTGAAACGTATGGTCTACAAAATCGTTCTGGTTCTAGAGGTGCTCAGATATCCCTTTCTTGAAATTATTATTGCAGATGTTCAAAAATCGACATTAATCCGTATACGTTTTTTGTCCTAAAAAATCATTTTGGTTGCAATACCTTTATAATTGTTTAGTTATTGTGTTGTACGGAATTATATATTTTCACGAAAGATCCTTTAATAATAAAATTCAAAGTGAAGATGGTTCGTTCCTTCATCTACCCTAAATATGTAAGGGTTTATGCGGCTCAATCCAAATCGACAAAATCAAAAAAACTAGGATTGGATAAGTAACATAGATGTTAAAACTTTAGTATAAAATCAAAATTTCAAATATTTGTTACCATAAATTGTAATCTATTTGTAGATCTAGTCTCATTTAATATAGTTTTTTATTCTCGCACCGTCTACAGGTCTTGAAAAACTGAAGGTAATGAAATTATATTCTACTATATTATAGACAAAATCCAATAGATTCTAATAAACACGTGAACTCATATTGGACGTAACCCCACAAGTTTTTTCTTTATCAAAATTTATTATTTTGAATTATTCCATCCATAGAAACCGTTTAAGATTGATATTTCATTCTATGATTGGTCCGACAAGTTTATGGACTTATATGATTTTTGAAAACCTAAGCCGACCTATTGTTTGAATTTGTTGCCTAGCCTAGGTGAAAGTTAAAAAGCAAATGTTAAAGCATAGATCACGTGTAATCTAACCTTTCAACCATTTAACTCGATAACCTAACAAACTGATGAAGGATCTTGTGGTGATACTTACTCAACCTCAAATCCCTTGGTTTGCGAAGCCTAAGAGGTCGTTTAACAAACATTTACTCGAGTAAGCGTTTACGAAGTTACATTACCTTAGCAGATGCATATGGGAAGGGCCAAGAATCTTATTCGATAAGTGTGAAGGCAAAGACCGAGAGTCTTACCCGGTAAGTGAGGGTGGCGACTCTTACCACGGTTAACGCTGACCGGGTAAATTGCTGCATATGATACTATTTTGGTGGACCAAAATCTTACCCGGTAAGTAAGTGATTGTGTGAACTTTCCAAATAAGCATTTATCCAGGTAACAGTTTGGTGAACAACCCCTAAGAGTTTTTAAATTTCTTGTTATAACTAATCCTTCATATTAGAAAAAGGTTGTATATTCTTGTGTAAATAATTGTTATTGATCAATAAAATTAGATGAGAAAAACTTCCCAAAACCTCAGTTCTACTTTAGAAACAATATAATAATTATTTAAGGGGCCGTTTACCAAACGCTTAATCCGGGTAAGTGCTTACCAAGTAACATTACTTTACCGGATGAATATGGTAAGAACCAAAAATCTTACTCGGTAAGAGCGAGACAAGGACCAAGAGTCTTATCCGGTAAGTGAATGCGACAACTCTTACCACGGTAAGCGCTTACCCGGTAATTGTTGCATACGATGTCGTTTTGGTGGATTAAAATCTTATCCGTCAAGTAAATAATAGTGTTAAATTTACCGGTAAGCACTTACCGGGTAAGTGTTTGGTAAACGGCTCTTATGTTTCAAATGTATCTTAATTTGGTGACATGGTAAATGTTATAAATGAAATTATGAACCATAAATTAACAAATTGAAGTATTGATACATAACATGTTAATTTCAAATACCGAATCATAAACGTAAGAGTTAAATAAAAGGGAGTGAATATACTTTAATCTCGTTTTTCTTTTAGGAATCGTCTTAAATTTTTTTATTTAAAGTTCTATAATTTAAAAAGTATATATTTTAATACACTAATTTTTTAAAGTATAGACCATCAAATAAACATTTTCAATAAATTATGAACCCTTAAATCTGCATTTTAAAGTTATATTTCTTAAAATTGGTTTTGAATGAAAGTGCGTTTTATTTCCATATCTTTTGACTTACGCTATACTTAGGAAGCTGGTTGATAAACTA